TGACAAATAGAAGGATAAAACCTGAGAGATAAAATCTGAGTAAGAGAAATAAATTTCAGAAGTGACTTTGTTTTTAATTGAAACATAAATTTGAGGAACAGGATTATGAGATTTCATTTCAAGAAATGTGTATAGGGGTGAGTTTTAAGAGGCACAAGCGCTGGAAATTGACCCATTCTGGGCTGATATGGCCCATTGTGCAAAGCTGTATTTAAGTAATCTACATGCAGTAAAGGCCCAATTAGGTTGATAGTCTATAGCAAAAAGCTGAGGAATGGCAAGTTCCAGTATGCATCATTGTGGTTAAAGCAAGCACCACCTTATCCATTCCTTTTCATATTAACAAATAATGCTTATCAAGAAATTTGAAATTTGTGTTTGTCTGCCCATCAGTTGGGTGGGTCCCTCAACAGGTCAGACAAGATTGGGTCTAAGCTGTCTTTCAAGCTCTCAGGAAGACTGGGCTAAAGCAGCATCACCTAATCTGCCTACTTTACACTCTTAATGCCCACACTTCACAACAGTCAGGGGCAACTGGTGTGAGGAGACAATCTCCATGGGGCCTGTGCAGAGATAACTCTTGACTTTTTTGTCCGTATTCAACAGTGTGGAGATGGGGATAGTCTTCTTCCTTGGTCAACACTCACTTTCCTGAGACTGAGAAGTCCTTCCTTACTCTTCCATTTTCATTTATTGACTTTATGGAAGGTATTAAGGTACCTTTCTCTTGCTATTACTCCTCCTCTTTCTGGCCTTTTTCACACACTTCTATGTCAGCATATTCACCTATTCCCAGTTGGCAAGGATGCCAGAGAGAGCACTTTTCACAATCCATTTGCTCACATCATATGCTATCAGAAGCAGAAAATCCTGCTAAAGGACTGAAATAGGGAAGAGGAGGAGAAGACAACAAAGAAGAAGAAATCATCCTCCATTTTTCCACTGAACCAGAAAAGCGTAAGTCCTGTTTCCACAGTGTTTACACAGGAGAAGCAACACCTTCTTTTTCTCAGAGGTCTATTGAAGACTCTTGCCCAGACTTACATATTTAACCAGATTTTCCCTATCAGACTTAAAAAAAAAATCTAATAAAATTAATCACCTGACCTCAAATGAAAAGGGAAAAAGATTTATAGAAGCACATTCACTTTCAGAAAGTGCTGAGCATTGTATGACTAAGAACTCAAAAATCTAAAGATGTGGGTTACAGTTTCTAGTTCATGAGACTAACAATATAATGAGAAATAAAAATAAACATTGCATTGGATTTTAGGTTCATCTTATTTGCATTCTTATTCATAAGGCTTAATCTTTTAAGTACCTTTTTCTACCCAGCAAATCACAGAACACCTTGAAGAAAAATGAGCCTTATATTTTCAAGTATTTACAAGGTTTAAGAACCTTGTATTCCAAGACACTAGTGTCTAAATGAAATGAAGAAATCACAAGTTACTTAATAGAATAATTAAAAATACTTTAATTTCAAAAGAAGGAAGATGTGTGGAGAGGAATAAATCAAAGAGAATCAAAGTTGTAGTAACAGTACCCAGTGTCCTGTCTACATTCAATATATTATCAGGAAATCACATAAGCAGTCAAAAACTTGACCAACTCATCCATGAACTCCCAGACATGCTCACTTCTAACTTCATATTGGAAATATACTACTATAAACAGCATTGGATTGACTTGGATTTATCAGTCTATTGTAAATCCCTAATAACTCTGAAAAAAGGACATGGTATTAATATCAGTAACTTAAAGACTCTGGATGTAAAACGTATATTTTTCTTCAGGCCTTTCCAAAAAGCACAGGGTAGTTAGTTAGTTTGCATATCACATTTGGCTTAGTTGTGAATGGTAAATGCAAAGCTTTAATTATCCAAACTCCTCACCTTTTGGAATGTTTTTCATATTTCTTTAGTTCTTATGGAAATATTGTAAGTTTACCATACGTATTAGTATTATATTTAATTTTCTGTTATGCAGGAAATTTAAAAGGTATACAATGTTTGTTGAAAACAGGATAAGATATTCTGAGTTAGGCTTGGTGGGATAATTTTACAACAAAGAGACTAAAAACAGCATAGAAACTTCCTAAGATTTTACCTCTATACACTGGCAATTAGTGCTATTAAACCAAAGTAAAGCTATAGAAAGCAACTTTTCCCTGCAAAAAGTCCCCACAAAACAGTAGACCTGTAAAAAACAGTTCCTTATTTTTACTGTTTGAAGAGTTAATTTAAGCATCCATTCACTGAAAACAGTGTCTTACAAAAATATCTGAGTTGTACGTTAGGCGGCTATGGTTGCCCTGTTCTCCCTCCAGCCTCTAGAAGATCACTGAGCTTTTGTAGGATACCAAATGCATAGTACCACTATGCAAAAGTTGAGGGGGAAATAAGAAGATCTTGATTTGTCAGGTAACATTTTGCCACTGTTTTTTGCAGTTTCTTTCAAGATCACAGCCAAAAAAACCCCCCAACAAGCCAACAAAAAAACTCCACAAAAACAAACAAACAAAAACCCCATTGTCCTAAGGATGGAGTTTGGAGGGCAAAGGTTTTTGGAAGTTATGACAGCCATTCAATTAGCAAACATTTTTCATTGGCTAGCAATTCAAGTTAAGACTCTTGTGAAACGATTCATCCCACAAGGTCTTTGTAAAGCTCCCTATTGTTTGTCCATTTATTCAGCCAAAAGAGCAGCATGGAGAGCTACACAGTTGAAAACGTGGTTTATCCTTTGATGTCAACAGTGAAATGTGAACCCTTACTGAGATGGCAAATGTAATGATGTTTTAAATACACTTAGCTTTTACAGTACACACCACAAAAGTTTTCCATAAATGAGGGACAGCATAAAGAAAAAGTTATACTTTCTGAAAGGTAAAATAAGAATTTTATAGTTTTTTTGCATCTTCTGTTCCATGTTCTGCATACTCCCAAAGTTTAGAAGTGTAATGATCAGTGTTATCATAGACTCACTTCTTTTTAATGGCTGACCCTTCAATTAAATACTACAATTTCTTTTAAAAATGGATAAAAATATGGTTCTTAAGAAGATAAAGGTTAGAGAAGCATAAACAATCGTAACTCTACATGAGCACCATCAGAATAAAACTACCATGAGAAATATAAGTGTATGAGAAAAATATTTTATCAGGCTGTAGGTTTCTATAGGAAAGCAACATGAAGCTAGAAGCACAATCCAGTATAGGATGCCATTTTAAATATATTTTTTTTTTATTACCATACATCAGCATTAAAATTCCCCAATTCTGTATCTCGAAGTTGAGTAACAACATTGTGGTTTTGAAACTGTTAGTGATCTTATCTCAGACATTGGTTCACTCTCTTTTCTTTTCTCAGTTTTTAAATATTAAAAAGCAGAGCTAGTGAAATATTTAAAACAGACCTAGTCCTTACATAACTAGTTTTGAATGCATAGCACAATTCAGTTGCAGAACTAAATAGAAAATAAAATGTACTTTTCCCACCCTTTAAAAATAAATTATTTTGTTGCAAGTATTTTTTGGAAACAGGCGGAGCACAATAGTAGGGCAGCTTTGTCAGATACACCTGACCTGCACCTATCTGAGTATACTCCAAAACCAAAAACCTGGGAAAATTAAGGGAAAGACAGCTTTTCTGCACTTATGTCTAAACTGACTTTTACCAACGAGATTGTATCTGGAAGTTGCACAGCCAAGATTTCAAGGCACAGTGTCACCTGAACTTTGCACCACTGTTTCCTGGCCCAAACTGTATATTTGTATGGTTCAGCTGGCATAATCTTGGAATTTGTGCACCCACATCTACTGCTGTACTAGACATAGCCTGAGACAGTTTCTTATATAGTCTTGGTCAATAAAATATGACACCTTGTATTACCAAGCCAGAAATGAATATATGAATATGATCAACCTTAACCAGCCATAAGCATGAGGCTTACATACTCACAAATTGTCTCAATTCAAGAGTGCCATATTGCTGCAGAGTTTCTAGGATTTTGGCTTGAAAAGAGAACAGCTACAGCAACATACAGGAAAAAAAAGAAACAAACCAAAACTCTTTACCCTCTCCTCCCTCTCTTGTGAAACATCCATCAAAATCAGGCAAGATAGATCCATTTTTGGTTGAAACTGTCCATACCACATTGCGTTATGTTAGACTGATTGGTTTCTATGGATTGCTCTGAGGAATGAGGTAGTTGTTTAGACACCAAAACAGGAGTGTTAGTTGAAGATGAAAGGGAATTTTCAAGATCTAATAATAAAACAAAATATTATGCTAAAATAACTATGAAATAAACATAAACTCAGGCCTAAACTTCATGCAGGTAACAGTCTTTTAATATAATAACTTACATAGTGGTCACCAAATTTATGTGCTAGCCTGATTATTTACATTTTTTCTATTGCTTTCATACTGGTACAATGCTACTGGGTGTACTAAAGATTCTTATTAACACAATATAACGGAAATAAGCCAGTCTCCTTTTGCCAAAAACATGTTTTTGGTAAGGAAAACAACTTACTGCACAAAATAAAGTGCTGTTTAGAACTGAAATTGCAATGGTCATTTGCATTTGTGCTTCTGGAATACAGATTTTTTTTGGCAGTTAGGTAGGACTGTGCAACTGATCTAGACTAATACACTGAAACAAGCATCTGCTTTAACACAATTTAGTACAATGTTTTTTGTGTTTCCCTTCTGTTTGGAGATACATGACTAAAATTTTATAATAACATGATCTTTGCCATATTATGTAGTAGAGAATTTTTGTTTCAGGGAACAACTACTACTCTGAGATGATGATTAAGAGGAAACTGTTAGAAAGTATCAGTAATACATGATTCTATAAACACATGCAGTTGAAATAAGCCTGGAAACTGTAAATAAATTGATTTCAGAAGACGTACCGGTTTAATGCTTTTAAAAGTCCAATACTTCCTCTTTAGCGTAGAAATGTTTTTGCCACTTGGTGAAGTCAAAATAGAGCACTTGATCATGGTAATCCCAACCTGTCATGGACCACAGCATCTCTCATGGCACCACACTCAGAAACAAACCTGGAAAACAAAGATATTTCTACATTTGTATTGAAATATACTCCACCTAGGATGTGGAAAAATCAGCAATTGATGAATACATTATAAGGAGTGAGTACACAGCCATAAATAACACCCAGTAAACTTCAAGACCAGAGACTGTGAAGCTCATGTTCCAGAGAACCTGTTTTTGCTGAGTATATGCAGCCCTGTTTTACTTGTTGACCCACTAAAACTGTGAGGATTAAAAAACATTATTTATCTTTTTAAAAAATGCAGCATACGTAAACCAGTAAACCTTTTTTTCCATATGAATCTCAAAATAAAAATCATATTCTGAACCAAAGAGAATCTTTCCTGAGAAAGGTCATGGAAGGGATTCAGTAAAATTATGGTCACTTGTTCCATGAGAACTTTGCTGAGTAACATCTCTTACAGTATCTTTAACAGAAAATATAACCTGTAAATGGATGTAGCGCAAACCCACACCAATCATGTGCTCTTCTTTTTACTAAGAAAGGCATGTATACAAGCAAAGTATTCCCAAGTGAACTGGTGGATGGAGTTGCCAAGCCACTATCCATCATATCTGAGAAGTCGTACCAGTCCAGTGAAGTTCTTGCCAACCAGAGAAGTGGAAATTTAATCCCCATTTTCAAGAAGGGAACTGCAGGCTGGTCAGCCTCACCTCTGTGACTGGCAAGATCATGAAGCAGATACCCCTGGAAAATCTGCTAAGGCACAAGGAAAATAAGGAGGCGATTATTGACAGCCCTTCACTAAGGGCAAATCATGCCTGACAAATTTGGTGGCCTTCTTCAGTAGTGCTACAGCATTGGTGTGGTGGATAAAGGAAGAGAAACTGATACCATCTACCTGAAGTTGTGTAAAACATTTGACACTGTCCTGCATGATTCCCTTGTTTCTAAATTGGAGAGATACAGGTTTGATAGGTGGACCACTCAGTGGATAAAGAGTTGGCTGCATGGTTGTCCTTGCAGTCAATGGCTCAATGCCCAAGGGGCAAGCAGTGCCAAGTGGAATTCATCAGTGGTTGGTACTGGGAGACCAGTGCCGTTTAACAACATTGTGGGTGACATGGACAATGGGATTGAGTGCACCCTCAGCAAGTTTGCTGATGACACCAAGCTGTGGAGTGCAGTCAGTGTACTGGAGAGAAGGGATGCCATCCAGAGGGACCTGGACAGACTTGAGAGATAGGCGTATGTAAACCTCATGAAGTTCAACAGGGCCAAGTTCAAGTTCCTGCACATGGGTTGAGGCCATACCAAGCACAAACATAGGCTGAGATTTAGAGCAGCACTGCGCAGGGGAACTTGGGGTTTTGGTTGCTGACAAGCTCAACATAAGCCAGGAACTTATGTTTGCAGCACAGAAAGCCAACTGTATCCTGGGCTACATCAAAAGAAGCATGGCCAGCAGGTCCCCTTACTCTGCTGAGACTCGACCTGGAGTATTGTATCCAATTGCAGCCCAGGATATAGTTGGCTTTCTGTGCTGCAAACATGCTGGCTCACGTTGAGCTTGTCAGTAACCAACATCCCCAAGAACCTTTCCTCAGGAGAGCAAGTCTGCTCTCAATACATTCTCTGCCTATCCTGTATTTGTGCTTGGTATTGGCCCAACCCATGTGCAGGACCTTACATGGACTAGATGCTCACAAAGAGCACTAACACTTCATTTGTTCACTTCAGTAACTCAAGCACATCACAGTCAGTGACCCACTGCAATGCTGTACAAAAATACATAGGCCAACTGAGAAGTTTCTGGCTCAGTAAGTCATTTACTGTACCGAGAAATCTGAATATAGCAATTGGAGTTGCAGAGGTGGTGGCCAGGTTCAACCAACACGGAACCACATCCTGCCCCAGCAGCAAATCCCACCATTGTGCTGTGGGCTCATCCTCCACTGACAGCAACTAACTTTCAAAGCCACCTTAAGAATTTTATGGCTCTTCAAAGAAAGCTTCAAGTTTTCTACCACTTTTAGTTAGAGCACACAGAGTACACTAGGTTCTCAAGATTTTAATCATATAAGCTTTGTGAATTTATTAACAAGACAGCAGAGAGCATGAGAAAAAGAATTAGAATATTTGCAATCTTTTTTCTACTTCTGTCCAAATTATGGACATTACATGCCAAGAGACTCAAAGAGCTCAGCATTATCATGTTACAGTAGCTCTTATGCTCTTAAATCAGAGGTTAAAAACTTAAATCAAAATCGAAGTGCTAGGTGCTGTAAAAGTTTTGGGGAAAAAACATTTATGAAGGGAAAACTGTGCTTGACAACTTGATAGCATTCCATGATGAGATGATGAGCTTGGTGGATAAAGGAGAGCACTGGATGTTGTTTATCTCAACTTTGGTAAGGTTTTAATTAACTTTAGTATGTTTTCCATAGTATTCTCACATACAAACTGATGAAGAACAGGTTAGATAAGCACATACTGAGATGAACTGAAAATTCTCTTAAGTGCTGTCCTCAAAGGGTTGTGATCAGTGGCCCAAAGTGCAGGAGGAGGCCATTCAGTATTGGTTCACCTCAGGGATGGGTACTTGGATCAACATTGTTTAAATAATTTATGAAAACCTAGACAACGGAAAGAGTGCACCCTCAGTAATTTGATGATACAAAAGAGGAAGGAGTGGTTAATACATCAAATGAATATGCTGCCATTTAGAGCGTTCTCAACAGGCTGGAGTAATGGGTCAACATGGGCCTCATGAAGTTCAACAAAGGGAAATGCAAACCCCTGCAACTGGAGAGGAATGACACACATTCCCAGAGCCAGTATATGGTGTGGGCCTGACTGGCTGGAAAGCAGCTCTGCAGAGAAGAACCTGGAGTTCCTGGGAGACAAGCTGACCATAAACCACCACAGTGTCCATGCAGCAAAGAAGGGGAGTTGCATTAGAAGGGGTGTTGCCTGCAGATTGAGGGAGCTGATCCTTTGCCTGTGCTCAGATCTGGTGAGACATATCTGGAGTGCTGGGCCCAACTATGCCCTCTCCAGTACAGGAGAGACATGGACGTACCAGAGGAACAGGGCCAAAAAGTTGATGGACTGGAGTGTCTCTTATATGAGGAGCGGCTGACAGAGGAGAAAAAAAGACTGAGGGAGATCTTATCAATGTGTATAAATACATATCAGGAAGGACTGAAGGTAGAGTTAAACTCTTTCCAGTGGTGCCCAGTGGTAAGGCAAAAGGCAACAACCACAAACTGAAATACATTAAATTCTATTTGAATAATAGAAAACAATTTTTACTGTGAGGTTGGTTGAACACTGGAGCAGGTTGCTCAGGAGACTGTAGAGTCTCCATCTTTGGGGTCACAACAACCCCAGGAAATGCTTCAAGCTTGGGGAAAAGTGACTAGAGAGTTGTCTGGCAGAAAAGGAGACCAGGGGGTTTGATCGACTGTCAGCTGGACATGGGCCTGTGGTGTGCCCAGGTGGCCAAGAAGGCCACCAGCATCCTGGCCTGTTTCAGGAACAGCATGGTAAGTAGGACTCAGGAGGTGATTCGCCCTATGTACTTGGCACTGGTGAGGCCCCACCTCAAGTACTGTGTCCAGTTTTGAGCCCCTTACCACAAAAAAGACCTCAAGGTGCTGGAATGAGTCCAGAGAAATGCAACAAAGCTGGTGAGAAGTCTGGAGAGTAAGTCTTATGAGGAGAGGCTGAGGGAGCTGGGGTTGTCCAGCCCAGAGAAAAAGAGGCTGAGGGGAGACTTTATTGCTCTCTCCAACTACCTGAAAAGAGGTTGTAGCAAGGCATGTGTTAGTCTCTTCTCCCAAGTAACGAGCGATAGGACAAAAGGAAATGGCCTCAAGTTGCACCAGGGAAGGTTCAGATTGGATATTTGGAAGAGTTTTTACACTGAAAGGGTTATTAAGCATTGGAATGGGCTTTCCAGGGAAGTGGTGGCATTGTCATCCCTGGAGGCATTTAAAAAACTGGCAGATGTAGTGCTCACGATTAGCAATACAGTTTAGCAATGGGTTTTGTCAGTGTTAGGTCAATGGTTGGACACAATGATCCAAAAGAGATCCAAAAGATCTCTCCCAACCTAGACAATTCTACGATTCTGTGATATTCAAAACCTGACTGTACATGGTCCTATGTAACCTACTTTAGCTCATCCTGCTTTGAAGACAGGCATTGAACTAGACTATCTCCAGAGATACCTGCCATCCTCAAACATTCTGTGATTCTGTGAAATCCTATAAAATGTTGACAAAATGAAAAAAAAATCAGCAACAGCTTTTGCTTACTTAACAGTACCTTGAGACATATCAGTGTAATCTGTTTTATAATAGCATATTGTTTTACAGCAGTAGAAGAAAGCTTGTTTTGTCTCTACTCTGCTAACACAGGATTTTTAGTGCAATAATATTAGCTGTGACTTTTGAAGTCACAGATATTCAGCAAAACTGGCATTCAAATAAAGAATCTTCACAAGAACATGCCACTATACCTAACCCCCCAAACCCTATTTAAGTAGACAGGTTTAATATTTAACATCAATTTCATTCTCTACTTGTTCCTCTTTACCATTCCTACAGTTCAATTTTTGAAAGTGAACTGAGGTAATAACACTGGAGAGACAGTAAAGCTAAAATCTCAAGAATACTTTTAAAAGCACAGTCCCACAGAACAAATACCTAACAGTGTGCTACTTAATGGAAACTAGTAAAGCAAAACAAAGCATTCACAACAAGCCTACAACTTCTGTTGCATTTCCAACATTGTGAAAACAAAATCCATAAATGAAAGCTTTGATTTTCATTCTCTTTGTTCAGATATGTAAGACTAAATCAGAACCCAATTTCCACATATTAAGAGACTTCATGATATTACTGGTGACAGCAGTCTGCCCTGTCTCTGCTCCTTGGGAGTTTAGACTCTGTGATAGCCTGAAATCCTGCTCAGGTTTGAAAATTACGCTGCTAATTGCAGTATTAACATTTTGACAGTCTTGTTTTGCAATGTCATCACTATGCCTAGGTCTCAAAGAAGAAAGAAATGAGGTATATGTGGAACTGCTTTTTCGTTCTGTATAATCTGTGGGGAGATACTCATCACCCCCCTCTGTTATTTATATTTTTTTCAGAAATGTTAATGGAAAAAGAGAACAGCAGAAGAGGATTTTCTAGCTGTACCACACCATATACACTGACCCAAGGTTTTACCATTTAGATCAAGAGTACAGGCAAAGGATGGGGAAAGAGCTAGCGGAGGGAAAAGAATACAAATGCAATGAATGTAGTATCAGTTCTGATGATTTGTTTTAAATGTTGGTACATTTTCAGTCCTTTCAGTGGGTTTTTGACAGAGGTGATTCCAGAGGTAGCAACAAAACAAGAAGAAAGTGAGAAGGTGCTAGAACAGAGGGTGGGAACTTTCAGAAAAGAAAGTGGTGTGATGGTGCCGTGTAAATCTCTCCTTATAGGTTTAGAGAAATTTTGAAGCTAAGATGAAGGGTGAAACAAAATAGAGCATTGAACTGATACGTATTCAGGGGTGGTTATAGTATATGTGTCTCTTAGATCAGTTCCTAACACCAAATGCAAAAGCAATAAGCTACAAGTATCAATTGCTTTAGCAGCATCATTTGCTTTTGGAGTCCTTGTTACTGGTTTGGAAGACTGATAGCAGCTAACTGTTTTGTGGCAAAATAGGTAGCCCTGAGAGTAACATGGCTGTTCCTTCTGTTCTGTCCTCCTGCCAACTAAACATGTTCATCAAATCCAAAATTACAAGAAGAGTCACCAACATAAGAACTGTCCTGAAACCATTGAAATCACACATTTAACAGTTATCAGAAGTTAATCTGAAGTTAAGAGTAGCATGCCAACTAGCTGGAATTAATTAGGTAGAGGGGGGACAGGAATTTTTCTTTTCCAACTAGCATTGTTGCATGAAAAGTGTTATGGCTGGCTGACTTGGCTGTTCTTACTGCTGATTGGTTCACTGCCTGTCAGTGGAATGTAATTAGACATTTTTACAATCACTGATGTGGGGTGTGTGAGAGCAGCCATCAATTGCTCTGAGTACTAGCAGCAAATCTGGTGGGTCATGAACGACACTTATTACCCATATGTGTGCAACTCTTTTGCTTCATGTCACAGCTGTGGCACATCCCAGTCGCACTGGAGCCACTGCATGAACAAAAGTTCTAAACACGGACATTTATTATTTCTGATGATAATGAGTCTACCAGAAGACACCTGGTAACATACATGTAAAGAATAGAGGAGACCTTTGCCAATAAATCTATCATGGGCTGGGGAGGGTGTGGACTCCTCAAAAGCCTTTTCAGGCCTTGATGAGTGGAAGCATGTGAGCAGGCATACCTGCAGGATAACAGGGAAATATAACAAATACCGAAAAAGTTACTGATTAGTTCTCCAGCTGCATGAATGCATGCCTTCTAACCTCTGTAGCCTCTCACTCACAGTGCAAAAGAAGCCACAAACAAGAATGCAGAGCACCAGCAACTATAAAATCAAGCACTAAAAATGGAGAGGAAATTTTTTATTTCAAAAAAACCCTGAATTTTTATTTGCTAATTCCTCAGTGTCTAAAATTCCGTTCCTTCTCTTTCTTCTCTTTTCTTTTTTTTTTTTTCTTTTCCTTTCCAAAGTCTTGGATCTAGAGCCTCATTTTATATAAAATGGAAAGATTAAGTTCGAAAATAATGAGTTGTAAGAACTTGAGCTTTGATACACGGTCAAAACTAAGGTTCAATAAAGACTTAATAAAATCATGCAGTGATTGCACTATGTTTTACTTCTTCAGATTACATGACTTAATAGTGGAAGTCACAGAACAAAACTTATCACTCAATGAATCAGTTAAATCTGTTCTATCCATTTAAGAATAGTGAGATATATGACCTGTGATCAACTTGCCATGATAGACAAAACAAACACAATATACTTCCCAGCTCTTCCATGTAGAAAAAAAAGTCCTAACATTTGTAAACCTAAGAATAAAATCCCTTTTTTTTTTTTTTTTTTTTTTTTTTTTTTTTTTTTTTTTTTTTTTAGAGGTCATTCCGGTCGTGCCTCTAGGAAAGAAGAGCTGCTGGGATATACTCCCTCTGAGTAAGAGGTCTAATTTGGAAATACTTGAAACCCTTTTTCTTTTTTTTTTTTTTTTTTTTTTTTTTTTTTTTTTTTTTTTTTTTTAGTTTTGTGTAATATAACTGCAATCAGTAATATAAGACATATTCAGATCAAGTTGTTTTACTATGGGCAGTATAAACAACATACCTTAAGACTTAGTGGGTCCCAGTCCTGGAGATGATCACTGTACCTTTGAAAATAAAATTCACCTGTTAAAACTTTTGCAAGTAATTTAGCTTAGGATAAAAATTCCTGGTTTCTGAAATCGTTTACTTATCATAGTTTTCAAGCTTCCTTAGTACCAAGCAGAATGGTTCTTTCTGATTTAAATCTACCTTCAAGAGATGAGTGTAATTTGTTCAGTCCCTCAGTTCCCCTTTTGAGTTTCCAAGGAGAAGGTCCACTGTAATATGCAGTCCACCCCACTCCAGCATCCCAACCTGGATTTCAGCTCATTTTGGGTTACAAAGCTCAGCAAGAAACCTTTATAAAGCAACTATTTTATGAAGAGGGAATCAGCAATATTTTGTACTCCCTCTGCAGCACTGCTTAATGTAGCAGCAGTTAACCAGCAAACTGTTCAAAAATAAATACCAATCTTACAGATAACAGAAAATAACATACCTAGCACCAATCTCTTACTCAGCTTTTTTGGAATGAAGAGGAATATAACGAGTGGACTTCTTCTTGTTCACCAATACTGGTGTCAGCACATTGGACAAAGCACTATAGACAGAGCATTGGGAGCAGTTTATTTTGGACAGGAACACTTTGTAATTTCTTTCCCCTTTCTAACTTCTGTTATTTGCATGTATTGTGTGAATGACGTCATACTTGCTCATACTCTGTTGTGGAAGAATCTCTGGAGTAGATCCTTAGAATGATTTCAGAAAAGTGATAGCAATTTGTAGTGTTTGAGGATCTTGCACCTTAAGTTCAAGACATCAAAGCCCTCTTGACAAACAGACAGTTTTCTGACTGATTAAGAAGCTGCTTACTCCTTTGGTAGCCTATTCTTGCTATCTCTTGTTCACCTTTACATATAAATTTATAAATATATGACTACATATATATAATAAGACCTATATATATGTCTATAACATTAATATATATATTTTTAAATACTGCCTGAAAATATTCATTTATTCCCCACCCCTTTGGAAATGTCTTAATTCATAATACTTTGGACTTGCTACATCCAGTTTTCTGGAAGTATGAAATTACTTGTGACCCTTGAAATATGAGAATGCTATAGTCCAAGTACTGTACTGCTATTGTACTACAGAGCTTGCCTTATTAAAATACGAATAGTAAGACCATCTTATTCATCTTAATTTTACAGGTTTAATTGCTTTATAGCAAAATGCACTGCTTACAGGGATCCTCCAATATATTACCTTTAGGTTCATGTCATTAAATAATCTCTGCAGGAACCACCACAGTGGTGTAAGAATCAAAGCAACCTTGTATCAATAGCTATTGCTTTACTGGCTAGCACAAAGAAAAGTGTATTTCCCCACCTTCAATAACTTGACTTAGAAGTACCTTATGACAGCACAAAAGGCAATCTGAGAAGCATGCATACCAAACTGGCTAGATATAGGAGGTTTGCATATTTGTACCATGTGTGATTCAAGATTAAAATTCTGTAAAATTCTAGATCCTATCTGTTGTCATTCCCAAATCCGAAATCTTCAGTATATTAGCCCCTGATACTCATAAAATTGATCTCAAAGAGAACACGTTTCCTCGGTAGCTAACTCAACAATAAATCATATATTTTTGTTTCCATAAAATGTTTATTAGAGATAAGCTCTGGTTTTCTCATATAGTGAAATTACATTTTTCTCCTTAAGTATATTCTTGCATGTACTTTTATGTCATTGTAAAAACACAGCAACTTTTGACAAACATTTTCAGTGGCATTATCCTGCACATAAGAAATTAAATTTAGACAAGTATTTTTGCAGAAAAGTCTTTCAAAACTTTAGAGGTGATATTTAGCAAAAAAACCCCAAAAACCTAAAATTTGTTGATTTGCATTAATCAGGTTGAAAGCATATCTGAAACAAATGTATTAATGTCAGAGAAGTAGATCTTCTAAGTGGAATGATTTGGGAAAACATCCTAAGAGTTGTGACGACAGAGAGAAATGTGTCTCTAACTACAACCTCATAAACAGTGAACTCAGTGTGTCATCAAACTTCTTCCAGTACTGCTGTACGTTACAGAGTCCTTATTTTAAGCCTATATTCCCAAACAGATCTTTATCAACTCTTTTGCTGATGTTTTTTCAAAAAACCCCACAACTCTTAGCTCAGGATATTATGTACAAAATGCTTTCCAAGTATTCAGAACTAACACCGTAATAGTGGCTTAGACTTCAGCTGATGTAGCACCTAATGCTAAAAATAATACTAGTTGTGTTTGTATTTAGCTGAAGTCAACGGATTAGTCAAGGTTACCAGGGACCTCACAACTCCTAGTCCTTAAACTCCCACTACTTTGTTTATAGTAATAATGGATTTTTCTTTGACACAGCCACATTGAAGTCATGGCTCTCAGCTCCAATAATCACTGATGTGAAAGTAGCAGACAACCTTCAGTGATGACTACACTACATTTCACTAAGGCACGTCACCTATTAAAATTTGCAGATATTCTGAAATATTTATTTGATTAAAGAAACCCAACTTCTATACACCTAGAACAATCTCACAATAGGATAAAACACTTCATGAACCTAATCAATTTATTTCATTTCAAGAATTAATTCACTCTGTGGCACATTCTATTCAGATGAAAACATATAAATCCTGATTTGCAAAACCAATAGACAGATACATGAATCAAGAAATTAATTATCAAGGAATTAATTTACCCCAAGGAAGTCTGCATCCCTGGATTTTCCTCCATCTGCTAATAATGACCAAATACCTCCTTGAAACAAAATTATGCCAATTATGGCATAACGAGATAGATTAATGTCGGTGGCAGAAAGAGAGGTAAAAAATCATCTTTGCTGACTCATAAAACATCTGAAGTTTTACTGTTCAGTTGGTTAAAAATTTTCCAGACCTCATATGTCTGAAAGGAAGAGAGTAGAAGAAAACCTGGCTTCGAGTCATGGGTTTTGAAATGATTCAATGTCTTCAAATAACTCAGATATTTGGGGAAAAAAAATATAAAATAAACAAAGGCTGTCATTTGGCCCTTGGTGGAAAGTTCTGTCAAGTACAGGTTACAGTTCTAGTGTCCCCATGCTTTAAAGACTTCATATCTGCTGAAAGAGCAGCTTTTTTTCCTTTTGCCATAAAATTGCCATTTTTCTGACGTTCAGATAATCCAGCAAATATGGTGAAGTTACACGAGTTGTGTGTACATACACCCGCTAGAGTAAAGGGTAAATTCAGATTGTGGCTGCTCAGCATTAGTATTTTGTGACCAAGGGATGACCTGGCAAAGAGGGCAAGCTGCAGAAGCGGCTGGACTGGCTGGATGCAGGAATGCCAGCGGCAGAAGGACTCTCCATAGGGCAGTGAAGTTTCCTCAGTGATGAGAAAAGAAGTGCCATGTTGTTGTGGCAATTGGTTGGTTGTGGGAGGCAAGTGAACTGGGCCCCCCATTGGACAGCAGAACCGAGCTGGGGGACAGGCCCTGGCCAGGCCCAGGTGCCCCGTGCCAATGGTCACAGGGTCAGTGCCAGTGCAAGTGCACGTAAGGAATTGGCTCGTGCGGCACCCTTGCAGAACTGCTTATGGCAGTAGGACTCTGTCTAACGCATTGTGCATTAAAGCTTTTATATTTAAGCACAAACGTGTTTAATTCACCTCAAGGGATAGAATGAGAATTCCCCAACAAGGGACTTGGAAGTTAGCCATTAAAAACATACAGATTCTGTCTGCAAAATTGACTGGATGATAAACGTAAGATTTCCACACAGAGGATGGGTTTATCTCACTCACTGATACAACATAAAACTACTTTTTCTTTGATGATGCAGCTCTTGGCAGTTTCAGGCAAACTCTAGGTCTCTGCTGGGATGTTCTGTGAATATTTGTAAAACATTTTGGATTGGAATGCATCATAGAAGAACAAAAAACAATGTGTGCCGAGGTATGTATGTAGAATATATCCTATTTTATTATCCAGCAGAATAATCAGAATTTCTTTTACCATAACATATAGGCCCTCCTTTCTACACTGAAAACAGTGGAGAATCACCCAAAGAGAGTCAGCTGAGTGATCTATAAAAATAAATTTCTTTAACTGAAAACAATTAGGAATGTAATAATGAAGACACAGTTCTCTCAATAACTAAGGGGTAATTACTGAGCTTGTTTTGTGACTGATGAACAAAAACTTTGAAAAGAAATTTAATCGCTGATTTCCTATCATATAGTTAGATGCCAAATGAGATCACATAATTACAGATGAATTAATTTCTATCCTCATTTTATATATAATCATGTTTTGCATGTTGATTACAAAAGCAAGAAAAAACAGAATATTGGGTGTTTATTTCATGGAATAACAGTGGGGATTCACTTTTAGCATGCAAAGGCAGATAGAGTCTTGCAGCTATATGAAGAGGAAAATATTTCAGCCCAAAACAACTCATCCACATCCATGGGAAATTTTTGCAGGAAGTTAAAACATGCATTGCCAGGACCTTTTATCAGGAATCAGCTTAATCACAACTGCAGAAGGAATGCATTGCTGGCAGAATGTTCTATAGGAAGGTACGTAACCAGCAGATCCCCATCATGGTCACATCACATCCCTTCTCATACTGTCCTGCTTTAAATAGCATTAGTTCCTAATTTTTCTCTACCCTTACTGCAGCTTCCATCACTTCTTCATTCTTAGTGGTTTAGTCTCATTCTTCACTGACAGCTGCTCCTCATATTTTAAACATCTTTGAAGTGATACTGTCATTTGTTATCTGCACATTTCCTGACATGAGGTTGAGAACAATGCCACTTACATGGCACTACGAAATAGAACAAGAAAAATGCTATGTTCGTCTGCCTCCACTCCACCTAAAAATTGAATCTTTTGCCAAGAAAAATGACTACGCTTAGTCCATAGTATTCAATAGATGGATTTCTATTGAGTTAATTATAGCATTAATACAAAAAAGCCAAGACTCTCCTTAATGCAGGCAACTTTGTATTTGTATCAGGGTAA